ACTACCAACACTCGTTGGTTTTCAAACTGCAGTTGCTGTTCATTCAATTGAATCGTTTTCGAGATTATTAGGAGTTTTTGTGTAATTCCGCAACTTTCTTATATTTTTTGACCGACTTTGCTATAAGGACTGAGCGCCGTCTTACTCTCAGTACAAGGCCTGTGGAAAGGCACCTGAATGTCAGAACAAATTCCACAAAGTGTTGGGACGAATTGTCGAGATCTAGCTGAATGCATACACTTGGAACTCAAATATTAACCCCTACTCGTGGAAAATTCCGGCGCCATGCACTTCAAACGGCTCGATATGGGAGAAGGGGTATAGGGGCGTCCAGATGTGGGTCCATGTAACGATCGTAGTTGGTCGCACACTTGCATGTGTAGACATCCACTAACTGGCACACAACTCTCACCTGTGGCCCCCCGAAACTAGACTCTGCACACACCCTGGTAACCGCCTCGACCGGTGGACCAAACCAGGTGAGGGTACCCGTGCGTACATCTCCACACACGCTAACTCAGCTCCACCGGCCGGATGGATCACCGCCTCAGTATCTCCGAGGCCAGACTCCACTTGCAACACCGCAGGAGGCCACAAGGTAAGTGAGCACCCAGGTAAGCAAACATTGCTCTGCTGGATTGCTACTTGCCTGCTTGTTTGTGTTTCTCCTTGTAGATGACTTTGTTGCCTCTGCTTTTTGTCGTGCTTTCCTGCTTGTTTTTTGTCTGCGTGTTCGCGTCCGTCCTAATTGTAAGCTAAATGCCGTTCTGTCTAATTTGCCTGCTCACCCTTTATATTTCGGCAACCAGTTAACTTTGAGAGGGACGGAAAGCTCTGAATCCCGCCTCTCTACTCTTCTCCCATTTCCCCCTCCCCCTTCAAATCCTACGTGGTGAACGGCAACTAGCTCGTAGGCGGCACAGGATAACTCGGGTCGTTCTCCCACTAAGAACAAAAGCCGCTGCCCACAGCGGAGTTCGGCAGCCGTCTGAGATGACCAAGCAGCCCTATTTAGAGAGAACACTGCTCACCCCCGCCAGGGGGTTGGAGGCTAAAAAGGTGCCCTGAACAAATACTGGGATGCACGTCGCCTGCACACTGACCGTGGCCACAGACACAAAATATACAGTAGAAACAACGCTCTCTCTCTTCCCCCTCCCGCAACCCGCAGGTTAGTAAGGTGAGCCGGCACACGCTGTCAGCCTGGCATGTTTGTTCCCTTTTAGACAATCCCCGAAGCAACCGATCACAACGGATGACAGCGCCAGTGTCTCAGGAACTGGCACGCTACAAGGTGGGCGTCGTTACACTCAGCTAAAGCCGTTTCTCCTAACAAGACCAACAAGAGGATATTGATGCCAGAATCGGTCGACCAAAGGCCTAGCAGAGGGACGGGGACGTCGGATTTGCCTTGCGGAACGATATCGTCGGACGACTGCCTGTCTGCCGCAGACCGACAGCGATCGCTGCCTGCACAACTACCATGCCAACATCAACCCACACACAGCCGCCTACCACCACCAGCTTCGCCACACTCAGCACATTTTGCACACCCACCATGTCTAACCAAACGCACAATCCGTCGCCCACCGTGCCCAACATCAAGAGTTCAACCTCTGCCACCATCATCGCCGCAACCAACAGTGTCCCCGCCGAATTTTCTTGTCCACACTGTCCTCGCACATCCACCTCACACATAGGCCTGGTCGGTCACTCGAGAATTCATCGTACAGCAACTGACAAATCAGTGCCTGAAGCACCAACCTACACTCGCCGCATCCGCCTTAACTGTCCTAACTGCACCCAACGTTCATCCACCGCATGGGCCTATAGGGCTACATGCACATTCACGAAAATCTGCAGTAGACAACCGCCGGCTGCACCACACCACCACACCTTCCCCCACCAACACCTGCATCACACAACATCATCACCCACCACAAGCATCCAACTGCCACCTTCCACGCAAATGGGAAGTGTGCATCTCGACTCCGTCTCCGTGCGGCTCCTCTGCTGCATGTGTGATTCGAGTCTGAACCTATCACAGTGCATCAAGCACCGTGGCTTGGAAGGCTGCCGACTGAGACCCAAACTCAGACCACGCAGTCTGACAAAGTTGGGTGGGTGTGTATATGTGTGGAGCGGCAGACTGATGGGCTGAGAACTAGGCTGAAGCGGCTGCTTACTAACGTGACCTACGGCACTCTTAAGCATGTGAGAGGTGCGCCGCTCAACTCCTGTTGTGGGAAATATTGGTGTTTGTGTTTGGGGAGTCAGGTTGTGCATGTGAGTGCACAGACAAGGTCACTAGACTACGTCAACCACCATGCCCATTCTCCGCTCTAGTCGACTGACCGGATTAGATAGCGGCTGAGGCATGGGAAGGGGAAGGCAGAGTGAGGTCGACCGAAACAGAACCTGGGTGTGCCGCCACACCTGGCCCCGATCTCATGGAGGGGAAGTGCTATAAAGGCCTCATTAGGAAGGAGCCATTGCAGCCTGACTCTCAGACCACCAGCCGGTCACCCTACACAAACACACAACACTGGGCCGTTTGCGAGGTCAAAGTTATCCCGCCAGTTGACAACCTTCCAAGTGACGGCTTTTAACGCACCGTGATAGCTTCAAGCGCATCTGATTGTTTATAGAGAGGAAGATGCGCTGAGTCGTCGACCTCACTCTGCCTTCCCATTCCCATGCCTCAGCCGCTATCTAATCCGGTCAGTCGACTAGAGCGGAGAATGGGCATGGTGGTTGACGTAGTCTAGTGACCTTGTCTGTGCACTCACATGCACAACCTGACTCCCCAAACACAAACACCAATATTTCCCACAACAGGAGTTGAGCGGCGCACCTCTCACATGCTTAAGAGTGCCGTAGGTCACGTTAGTAAGCAGCCGCTTCAGCCTAGTTCTCAGCCCATCAGTCTGCCGCTCCACACATATACACACCCACCCAACTTTGTCAGACTGCGTGGTCTGAGTTTGGGTCTCAGTCGGCAGCCTTCCAAGCCACGGTGCTTGATGCACTGTGATAGGTTCAGACTCGAATCACACATGCAGCAGAGGAGCCGCACGGAGACGGAGTCGAGATGCACACTTCCCATTTGCGTGGAAGGTGGCAGTTGGATGCTTGTGGTGGGTGATGATGTTGTGGGATGCAGGTGTTGGTGGGGGAAGGTGTGGTGGTGTGGTGCAGCCGGCGGTTGTCTACTGCAGATTTTCGTGAATGTGCATGTAGCCTTATAGGCCCATGCGGTGGATGAACGTTGGGTGCAGTTAGGACAGTTAAGGCGGATGCGGCGAGTGTAGGTTGGTGCTTCAGGCACTGATTTGTCAGTTGCTGTACGATGAATTCTCGAGTGACCGACCAGGCCGATGTGTGAGGTGGATGTGCGAGGACAGTGTGGACAAGAAAATTCGGCGGTGACAGTGTTGGTTTCGGAGAGGTTGGTGGCGGTGGGGCACTGAGCGACAGGTTGTGGGTGGGGCGAACCTTGGTGGGTGTGCAGTGTGCACTGTGTTTGATTGAGCTGGTGGCGCTGGGCGAACAGGGCGACGCAGAGAGTGAGGGGCTGGGCATGGTGGGTGTGCTGGATGTCGTGGGTGTGTCGGGACTGCGGTCACTCCCGCTCTCGTGAATACGCATGTGCCCGAAGAGAATGAAAATGGTTGTTCTGGAGGGCGATCAGAGTTAGTTAACGGCGTAGAGGTCGAGGAAAGTGTTGATAGAGGGACGACGTGTGGTGCAGTCCGAGGGCTGCAGTTGGTCCAAAGGTGTCCAACGAGTCCATTTGGCGCCCCTAATGTCCGCTGACGCCGTGGACACGTTGGAGGTAGTTGGGCGTTGGTATTGCAAGGTGGGCGCGGTTGAGATTTGCGTGCTTCTTGTTTGGCTTTCGCGGCGGCAATGCGGTTGGCTTCGTAGATCGCCTGTCTTTACTGTCCTCCTCCAGGTCAGTCGGCCTCGAGCGAGGTCTCCCACTTGGACGGGTTGATATGCAGACGCTTTAGGGAAGACTTCAGAACATCGACGGATTTGGGCTCTTTGTTGGTGGGAACCCGTGGCGACATCTCCATAGAAGAGTCGTTTGGGTAGCCGCCCTTCGTCCATCCGCACGCGGTGGCCGCTCGAGCGCAGTTCTAGCTGCCTCAGCATGGCGTAGATGCCAAGATTTCCCATCCGCTCCAGCACTTCAGTGTCTGGGATCCGGTCCTGCCACCTTAGCTTCAGTATGTGACGAAGACAGTTGACGTGAAGGTGGTTGAGTCGCCGCGCCTGGGGCGCGCCGTGTTAATGATCAGGCAGAAGTTCTCACAGGCGGCGGCAAAGAGGTTCATACTGCTTTACATGTCCCCTTCCGAGGTGGTGTTAAGGGCGCAGTCGTCTGAGAAGAGGAGTTCATGGACGGTATTTGTGGATACACGCGATTGGGAGCGCATCCGCGGGTGGTTGAAGAGGTGGCTGTCTGTCCGGTAGGCGATGCGGATCCCGGGACCTTCGCCATGTTAGACGTCCATCAGTACGGCAGAGAACATAAGACTGAAGAGGTTGGGCGCCAGGACGCCTCCCTGCTTCACTCCGTTGGTCACTGCGAATGCCTCTGAGACAACTCCGTTGTCCCTGACACGCGCCATCATGCCATTTTGGAGCTGACGCACCATCTGAGGGAGTCGCTCTGGACAGCGGAATTTCTGCATTACTTTCCACAGTCCTGCGCCATTCACCGTTTGGAAGGCTTTCATTAGATCCAGGAAAGTAGAGTACAGATGATTCCGCATCTCCTGACACTTCTCCTGCAGTTGACGGGCAATGAAGATCATGTCCGGGGTCCCACGATGACGGCGGAAGCCGCATTGACGTTCCGGCAGAAGACCTTGTTCCAAGTGGTTGTTCAGGTGGTTGAGTAGGATGCGAGCAAAGATCCTCCCGGTGATTTTCAGCAGGCAGATGCCTCGACGGCTGTCACAGAGCTGGCGGTTTCCTTTCCGCTTATATAGATGCACGATTGTGGCGTCCCTGAAATCTTGCGGGACTTCTCCTTGACGCCAAATCTCCTAGAAGAGCGCTGTCAGATGGTCTATGAGTTGGGAGCAACCGTGCTTGTAGATCTCAGCAGGGCTGACGTCCGATCCAAGCGCTTTCCCGCTGGAGAGCTCCTGCATGGTCCTGATGGTTTCGTGGAGGGAGGGCAGGAGGTCGAGGTCTACGTTGGTCTCCACTTGCGGCAGACGGGCGATGGCGGCGTCGGAGATTATGGAGGGACGATTGAGGACTCCTCGGAAGTGCTCGGCCCATTGCTGTAGAATTTGTATCCTCTAAGAGAGTAGGGTACTGCCTTCGGCGCTGAGGAGAGGTGCGATGCCGGTGGCGAAGGTGATATCCGGTCAAGAAAAAGATGTAGCCGGCACCCACCTCCTCCAGATGTGCACATTGTGGCGCGCCAGTTCACGAGCCACTAGCGCCGTCCTCCGCTCCGGTCGGTTGCTCCTTGGATTGTCAGGGATTGTCTTAGGAAGGTAAAGGATACAATTTTCAACTGAGGGACAGTACTCTGATTGCGCACTTCATTCCTCCTCGCCAGTGTGTCCAATAATGAAACCGTCAGTTATGTTCGCGTTTTCATCGGAAATATCGACCACGAATCGAACCTCCTCATAAACACACATCATTCTCTTTTTTTCCGACTATGCGTGCTAACAACACAGTCACCTTTTTACGGGCAGATGCAGTTTCCCATGAGCTCTTTCGGAGGAAAAAGTTCCTTGGCGAAACGAAATGGTGTATCCATTACACGGCTGAGACCGTCGGATTTGCGCAAGGAAAAACACCTAAATCAGACCCATGTTTCAACTAAAATTGGTCTGGGAAAAGTCACCAAAATAGGCTGTTCGAAGCTACCATCTGCTGAAGCATGCATCACAAGCGAACTTGAATGAGCTAGTACATAGTATTTAACTGCTTCCTAAAAGCAATTATCTGACAAATTCTTCAGAAAACAGTCGCGCGTCCTAATAAATGGACAACAATTACAACTTCAAGGAGGCTGCTCGTTGTCCGATTGGTCTCCCACGACGACTAACCACAACCACAGGCTACCGCAATATGTACTTATATTTCCAGTTGCACCTTCACATTAACCTGTTTTGGTGAATTGAGTTAGCGCTTGCAAAACACAGTGAGGGGAAGCGTACTAGCATAACTTTGGGAAGGAAAGAAAAGGCAGTAAACACCTTCGTAATCGAGCATCTGGTGAACCGTGGATTCCAAATCCCCTAGTCATCAACCAGCTGGGAGCTGCACGATGTTTATATGGATCCAATGTAGAAAACCGCCGTTCACGCCTGCCGCGATAAAATCCCATTAAAAATCGATGCCTTAAGCTGAAAAACGGTTCTGCGGAACTTTTCCACCCTTCCGAAAGATGTGTATCAACGCCAGACACTGAAAACACGCATGAGCCCTTACAGCACGTAATATCGACATATTTATTTATTTCGTATTCAAACCTCGACCTCAACTGAAAGTTAAGAAGGTTGAAAAGCCCGGTGTTAAAAACTAGCCGGGAGGTGGACGTTAAGAAAAGTCTTGGGGTCGTCGATCGCGTGTTAGCAAGCTGCTAGAATTCATTTTGACTGGACCTCTATGCAGTAGGAAGAGGCAAGGAAAATCAGAATACTCACTATGGTGCCTGTATGAGTAGAAAAACTTATAGATCTTGCAGATATTATGATTCCAACACCTGCATGCAGACTGTATCAGGCCAGTTACTTCAAACCCTCATTCGGTCCATTTTGGTACTTACTTTTTCTGAGCTTGATGCTTTCAGCTGTTATATACTGGGACGGCCATGACCTGGGATAGCAATGTCTTGCGGTTTGGCAATCAAGTGCAGGAATCCCAGTTTTTAGGGCAAACTTATTAACTTGTTAAGGAGATTTACTCGTACTTGCCGAAGAAACGACGCCCGGAAGCGCGTTACAGAATGTTCCAATGGTTCTGTACAGTTTAACGGAACGGGGCTTCAAACAACCGGAAGATGTAGCGTTTCCTGACAATTACTGTGTATGAAAGTGTCATCGAGCACATCCAAGCCCAACTTTCGTGACATACTGCCCGCAGATGACTGCTCGCTAAACACCATAACGGAACAGAACGTGTAGTGATGTTTAGATCCTTTTGCCTCCGATTACTCCAACTTGTGGTCGAACATAGAAGTGGAGAAGACAGTAGTCATGCCTCAGTCTGCTGCCAACACGGGGGACAATGAGCTACATATCCACGCCGCCCACAAACCCCATCATTAGTGGCGCAGACCTCGCGTCGGAAACCACAATCCCTCCCAAGCCCACCGCAAGTGAAAACACTCCCGACGCACCGGCAGCCACCACCAGCAATGCGGACTCGATCCCAACCCCTCCGTACTATGATCACACCTTCACATCACATGCCAGCCTCGTCAGTCACTTGCGAATCCACTGCACAGAGCCTGGTCAACCAATGCCAGGAGTACCCACATACACCCCTCGCACCTGCCCCTACTGCCCACGTTCATGCAGTCATCACATGCGTTTCCATGCTAGGCTGAAGAAAAACGATCGCAGACCAAACCACATCGTAACACACCCCCACCGACATATATACCCCCACGCATGATGCAGTCCCACATCACCCACCATCGGCACGGAATAGGCACCTGTCACGCAAGTGGAAAGTGTGTTCATGACTCCCTCTCCATTTGGCCTCTGTGGTACTGTAACGCATGTAGGATTCGGACGGCCCACCTCTCTCTCTCTCTCTGTGAAAACATGGTGTATTGTACGAGCGTTAGGCTGTGTGTGGCGCGCGCAGGTGGCCCGTTTTTAGATCTGTCAACCACTGCGCCAAGTCTCTGCATTAGTTGGTTGGCCGTCTCGGACGGTTGACTGATGTCTGGGAGAGGGAGGTGAGAGTAATGCGGACTCTGGGTACTGTGTCCCCACAGCACTCAGCTCATGTTCCTCGCTGTAAGCAATCGGACGTCCTATTAGCCGTAGCTTGGAAGTCTGCCAACCGACGAGATAGCTCGGTGCTCCTATCAGCACGGAGAGTTATACTGCATTGCCTCCGTCCTAATTTGGCTTTTATGACACCGCCACTCAGATGTGGTTCGAGCCGCTGCATTTTTGTTTCAGTGAAAATCTGGTCCCGCCTGAGCGGACCAGGCATATGTGGCACACATAGAAGGGCTGCTTATCTTTGTCAGTAACTTCGCCTGATACCACTCTCGGTCTTCATGACTCCGTCCTGACGTCGGCCCAGGTGAGTGGGGGAGGAGAGACTGCGGTAGATGCTGCGCAAGCCTACCATTACAATACAGTAATTAACGCGCGAGGCACCGTCCCTGCGCCCACCATGTTCCGTGGGGCATGCGGTTAACATCGTCTGTAACGACGGTTGGATTTACAGTGCCTCTAAGTTGACCTCAGTCACAGTCAGATATTTTTTTCACAAATAGAAGGGACACCCCATTCACATGAATTCGGGCTTTTGACTAGCTCACGCTCATCTCTCTTAAGGAAAATTAACATGGAACTTAACTGTTTTGCGGTAACTGAGTGGTGGCTAGAATAACTAACTTATCAACCCAACGGATATTCGCTTAGAGAGTAGTTATTTACGCCATAGGAAATATTTTCTCTGTGGAAACCCAAACGCGGACAAAGTTATGGCTGGTAGTGATAGCTTGAACGAAGCGGAAACTGCAGACTGCGTCGTCATAAATCTAAAAAGCCTATTTGTATGTCTTCTGTTCATCAGTGACAGTGATTTCCCTCCAACAGTCGTGCACAATATTTTAAATTAGGACTTGGCTCAACGATTGATGAGATACGGCAAACCTAGAACGATGGAAAGGATACCTCAGTTGTTCAAGAATAAACTAAAAAATGCTGCAGGTAATCTGTCCCCCTACCTGTTGACTTACTTAGTTTAACTTAACAGAACGCAATTACTGACCTCTTGGTTGCCGTTAAGTTTATCGGTAAAATTAAGCTTTTCGCCACTTTCTTCCCCATGCTGGTGTGTTTAGTATTTTTCTGGATTCTCGCCGTGGTTGTTCGTCCAGTTTAACTCAACGAGTTTTCCTTTTCAAAAACGCGCGGTATTGCGACGCTGGTGCTGCTACAACCTGCGTGGGTGATTACTCGACCGTGCGCTCAGCTGAGAAAACGTGATTTAATCCGTCAGACATGTAAGCGCGCTCCTGATGCTTCTAATTTTGGTATCGTCCAGCACGTCTAAAACATGGCGTCGCTGATGGCTGCCTAATCATTCTACGGACAGTCGACAACCATATCCAACGAGTAGGCGTCGTTCGATTTCAGTGCTACCTGTGTCGCACATGTGGGCGTCATCCGGCACCTGGTGCCAGCTTATTAATGGAAGTCAATGGAGGTAAGGTGAAATTTCACTTGTCTAAAAGAAAGCATTAAGTTTACATGGGTGATTCATCGAAAGCTCGCGGTGTTAGGTGAAAAGTTTCAATCCACTCAAATACCAGCCTGTGTACTAGGGTGCCAGCACTGCCAACAAGAGCATACAAATTTCTTGTTAAATATTTAGATTTTAACTTCGGCAACGATAAAGTGTAGGACCCCAAACTAGCGTCAGCTGGCCTGTGGACCGTGTCATACTTGGAATGGCGATGGAGGGGTTTTACGGGTGGGGCAACACAGAGGACGAAAAGCAAGAAAACACAGAAAATAGATAAAATTCTGTCGAAAATCTACCGTAAGCTCTCATTTGGCAAAGAAAGTGAGTGCGGTGATTAAACAGTAAACGATAAGCAGTTTTCAAAAAATAACGGACTTTGAATAAGGCGCCACTGGTAAGCTTGCATTTAGCCAGGAAGTGGGGGAAACTTCAAACAATGGGAACGGTGAATAATATGTGAAGCTTGGAGTCAAACCGAATTTTAGGATATATTTTTGGGGTTGTCGCCTAGTTGGGAGTCCTACACCCTATCGTTACCTTGACTTCATCCTATCAATGTTTTCACAAGCGTTTCCACTTTTGTACTTAAATTAATCCTGAGTAGGATGTCTGAGCGTGCTATGTTTTTACTGAGAGAAAAAATTGCTCTAGAGTCTCGAGAAAGGAAATACATTAATACCAATTACTTTCAGACTACTTACGGTAATCATGTTAACTCATGGTTTTAAATAGACTTCTTAAGTCAAGAAATAGATAATAAAGCTAAACCTTCCGAGTTGTTTACAGTAAAAAAGTATTGAAGAGCCGAGATCGAGTATTCAAAGAAGGTCAG